CACACACACACACACACACACACACTCACACACACACACAATGTGTTTAGGGCTACACGTCCTTCTGAACCATACAGCAGTCTTAACGTGACCGAAAAGACAAAATTATTAGATTCCAACCCACATCTTCGGATCTCACCAGCTACTTTAAACTTTCCTATCGATACTGAAGTCCATGGTTACTAAACTTCCCAGTCGTTTGTTGCAATAAAAATTCAACATTGCCGAAATTCAAATTCTGGATATTGAAGAAAAAAAAGATGCAAAATGTAGGTAGGTATAATTTGTTAAAAGAAACTGTGTTTCCGATCTAATGAAAAATGCTGCTTTTTAAGCTTCGTACATTTGAATAACTTACTGATGATATGGGGCTGGACTGTTCTGTAAATATAATATATGGTCACTTTTTAGGACAAGCAGGCTAACCCAGATTTTGGGGGTTTCCAGACATCTTGACCTTCACCAAAAGAAAGTGTGCATTGCCCTACCTATAGGAGAAGTTTAGTTTCATTGGTGTGTATATTTGTTTGGTTATAGACAAAATTCTCCTTGCATTGTATAGAAACTGAGCAAGGGGCAAATACTTTACCTTCCATTTTCTCAAAACAGCATTAATCGGGATAGCCTTCTTGTGCTTAAAAGCGACCATATTTTCCAGTTTATCTTACATGAATAACATACTTCGAGAAGTCGTAGGTCTTGGCACGTTAGTTCGCACAATAATGATATCATAACCTCTCTCCTCTCTCTCTCTCTCAAACCAGACTATGGCAATAGACATACTGGATTTAAAAAAATAAAAGGAGCATACCTTATCAGACGGCCCACCAACAAGACTAAGCTCAGCAACATTACTTTTTCCACGCAAAGTATTACCAATAATAACCAGAGCTCAATGTCTACAGAAGAAAAAAAACCTAATATTACCTCATAAATAACTACTGTGACCTTTCATAAATCAGGAATGCAGAAATTCTCTCTGCAAAATGAAGCGGTATGTTTCCATTTACGCACGAACTTCGATCAAACCGAATCGTATCAGACGTAAATATTGATTTGGTCATGTGTTAAGTAAGCCCCGTTTACCCAAAAGAGGCTTACCGAGATTTCAACCGAATTCCACCATCTAGTCGTAAATCCTCACAGTTGATGACATATTATTTGTGAGGCATCGTGGTGAAATCAGGCTCACGTCAAAATAATGAAATCTAAGAAACTACCATTTTTTTGTCCGCTGGGTAATTTTTTTTTTTTCGAATTTGTGTTTTTTTGGCTCAACACCTTTAAGGTCCATTAAAAAATACATTTTTGGGTGGGTTTTACTGAAAAATGTTGATTCACGGCACAAAAAATGTACATTTGCAGTTGTTTCTAAAGACTCCCAAGCTTTGGAAGACTCCAAACTTTGGTGGCCATTTTCTAGCTAATTTGATATCTGAAACCAGGCGACTCCTCCTCCTCCAATCGCAAATACGTCGACTTCTATTTATGATATGAGTATTTTTTTTTCACTGAAAACAAGATAAATAACGACCAGATTTTAAAAAGACACAAATATCTCCACATGTCCAAAACTTGACAAGCGCCTGATTCCTACGCGTTGTGACACATGTATGAGGCAGCTTGGTGGAATCAGGCTCTCGTCAATATAATCAAAGTGAAGAAACTTGTATTTTTCCACAGGTTTGTGAATTGTCATCAAATTTTTGTTTTTTGGCTCAACACTTTTCACATCCTTTAAAGAACTCATTTATGTTGGATTTTTCTGAAAAACGTTGATTAAAGGCACAAAAAACGTAAATTTTCAGTTACCACGTACTCTAAAGTTAAGGATATAACTACTCTTTGACAGCCATTTTCTCACTAATTTTACCTCTGAAAACAGGGGACCCCCACCTCCTTCATTCGCAAATATCTCCACTTGTAATCAAGATAAATTGATATTTTTTCATCCAAACAAAGACAACTGAACAAACTTCAAGATGATACCAATAACTCTACATGCCCAAAAATTGACGAGAGCCTGATTCCACCACGTTGTGACACATTTACTGTATTATGACATCAAACGCCATAACCACGCAGCTGCTGGAGCTGCTAAGCAAGCCATTACCTCTGAGGATAATATTATGCTGATCACCAGACTGGTCTTGAAATGCAATGAAACAAAAAAACAAAACTGTCAAGTCTGTGGTTTTGAAGTCCGGGCCTTCATGACAAAAATACGGACCGTTTTACGATCTCAGCATTTAAAAAAAAAAGAGTGTTATAACATATCTTTTAGTAGAGTGGGGTTACTTAATATAGGGCAAGGACTCTTCATTTTCTTTCATCTGCGATAAATGAAAACTGTGATGGTGAAAGAAACCTTTGAAGATACTCCAGCGGGTGGTTGGCGGGTGCTCTGGTGTGGTTTCTTTCCTATCAAACATCTATC